ATTGGCTAAAACCTGGAACGAATCTCCTCCACCCAAAATATGGGAGCCACTTATCACGACTGAGGCATGCCATGGTTTTCCTTCTCCACTTCACAAAAGTAAAATAAAAATCTAATACATCATAGTTCAGATAGGTTGGGGAGGGGGAGGCAAGGTGTGAGTGGATCTGTTGTTGTTGTGTGCCTTCAAGTCATTCAACACCCCCACCTGTCAATTCTCCATGTTCCATGTAAGCCCGAGTTGTTCTGCCCTGATGCTTCATTTCTATATCAATGCCTTATCCCCTGTTCTATGATCTAAGCTGTGGTGGACCACTTCAGTAGGTCTATGTGTCATCCCCCCCCAAAAAAAAATTGCACGGAGCACCTAAATCCCTCCATTCCAACATGCAGCTGGAAATGTACTTCAGGTTTTGAAAAATTCACATTTCTTTTAATGTTAAGCAGAACAAGGGAGTCCTAATTCCTATTTCCAAGGCTTCTGAGAAGGACCACTCACACACATCAATTTTTATTATTAGAAAAGGGCAAAAGTCAGGGTGCATCAGGAAAACAGCCCTGGAAAGCCCTAAGGCCACACTTCCTTCACTGCTGATCTAGAGGCAAAGCTATCCGAAGATCGTGCAGCACTACAATGATTTGGTCCACCTTGTCCTATGTGCCGGGATCATTATTCGATTTAGTATCAGAGGTTCACTGTCACAGGGGGTGGGGTGAGTCCTGAGATCCTTCAGCGCCACACATTTGCCTTTCGACCATGTTCATGCACTTGACATTTTCTCATTTTGCTGTTAACACAAGGGGGGGGGGAGGAGAGTGTTCATACCAGGAAAATTGCCATTTTTATGGGCGCAGTCAAGAGGCTGAGTTCTGAAAAGGTCACATATTCTCCTCCTTCTCCAAAACTCCAAAGCCAAACCCTGAGCATCCATATGTCATATCTGAAAACTCCAACTTCAAAACTCGAGAAAAAGAACCACTTACAAAAGCTTTTGGCTTAAGAAAAAACAACAGCCACCCACAGTCTCCGCGGCACAATCAGTTTGGTAGGTTTTCTCCAGTTGTGAAATAAGTGGGCTAGAATTCATGGAGATAAGCATAGATGCTTTCTTCTTTAAAGAAATGGAATGACTAGATCCTATACCCCCAACAGCTGTGGCAGAAAGACAGAAAAATAAAACAACGCCAACTGTGAAAACCCCAATTTAAGTGTTCACCACTCTGTTGTTGTTGTTTTTCAAAAGAATTTTATATTTACACTCTGCTATTCTCTGAAGACATTCAGAGCATCGAATGTGTATGTCCCAGCTGAACTGACATTCGGGTACTTCTCAAGTGCAGATTTCTGCAAAATGAACTTTACTGAGCATCTTGTGCTAGCCCCTGGAGACATTGAGTTTTTCTCCCCTAAATGCTATTTTTAACTACTAGATACGCTGGATTACTTCTCAATAAATGTGGACAGACCAGAACTGTGAGTGTTATAACTAGTCAAGATTTTGGTCCACACAGAAACATCACATTCTGCACCAGAAATCACTTCTGAATATACCTGTGTGTGAATGTCAAAATCTGGGGTGACCTAAGAACAATCTCTTACTTTGCACACTCTGTATCTGTCCATGCCTTCAACTAACCTGTCAATTTATGGTGACCCCATGAATTACATAGGATTTTTTTCAATAATATTCAAAAGTAGTTTGTCATTGTTTTCCTTGCAATATAGCCTATGGCACTCGGTGTTCTTTTTGGTGGTCCCTCTTCCACGTCATAACCAGGTCTGTCCCTGCTTAGCTGCCAAGGTAACATGGAGTCAGGTGCCTTCAGGGTATTTTGGCTTTCAATTTAGACACTTTGTTGTTGTGTGCCTTCCATTCATTCCTGACTTATGGAAACCCGAAGGGAAACCTATTATGGGGTTTTCTTGAGAATTTTACAACAAAGCAGCCCTCTACCATATATATATATATATATATATATATATATATATATATATATATATATATATATGGTATGCCAGTCCTTTCACTCTTATGGAGGCTCAGAAGATCTTGTGGGAGTTGACAATTTTTTCCAAGGGTGTGTGTGTGTGTTTGTGCCAAGCTATCGAGGCTGAGAGAAGATTGCAATGTGCAAACCTTCTTTCTGTTTCTGCATCCCATGGAGATGTAAATGGCTTGCTCTGAAACTGGAATCAGTGGCGGCACCAGCAACAATGCTCAGACATGAGCTTAAAGAGCCAGTCTCTTTGCACTCCACCATCAGGAACTAAGTGCTCAAGAGCCTCACTTCCAAAACTCAGTAAATGATCCCCAATCACTAGGAAGAGGAGATTTATGCTCTCATCTGCTACAGCGGAGCATCAAATCAATGCCTCTTTGTTAGGACAAACCACGTGGACCCAATGTTGCTTTGCACAACTTCCCACAGGCTTGGCTGGCTGTTGATTTCGCCCCCTCCATCTCTCTTTTCCTCCCTCTTTCGTTCCCAGATAACTCATCCTGCCTGCCAGACCCTGAAGGCCTGGATGCAGCTCTGGAACCTCTCTCCAGCATCACCTTGCGAGATGTGGCAAGAGAATATCTTGCTAATGGATGTGTCATGAGGGTTCGGAGCCATTAAAAGGTGGCAATCTTAGTGACTCAGATCTGAGCAAAGAAAAAGAAGGGAGCAACCTGGAAGGAGCAGGCTGCGTTCTCTCTTTCTCCTCAACCCATTATTTTTGAGCAATGCAGTACAGTAAGCTCTCCGTATTCACAAATATTTCATCCATGGATTCAAGCATCAACAGCATGAAAATATTAATATATATATATATATATATATATATATATATATATATATATATACAGTGGGTCCTTGTTATCTGCTGGGGTTCAGTTCCAGGACCCCCCGTGGATACCAAAATCCATGGATGCTCAAGTCCCATTAAATATAATGGATCGTAAAATGGTGTCCCTTATATAAAATGGCAAAATCTAGGCATGTCTTTTGGAATTTATATATTTTTTGAATATCTTCAAGCTGCGGATGCATGAATCCATGGATACAGGAGATCAACTGCATACAAATTCCAAAATGCACACCTTCATTATGCCATTTTATATAAGGGACACCATTTGGCTATCCATTGTATTTGATGGGACTTGAACATCCATAGATTTTAGTATCCATGAGGGATCCTGGAACCAAACCCCAGCAGATAGAAAGGGACTACTATATTACTAAAGGATTTCACTACATCCTCTGCACACAGCAGTGATGGAAGGAAAGGTTATTTTCTCTGTTGCACACAAGAAGATCTAGGAGGTGGTATGCCTCTTTCCTGGGGTAGGTTCTGTTTTGTTTTCTTTCCTTGCGGCCAAAAAGAGAATCAAAATTCCTTTTTAAGTCTCATGACACAAACTGACATCCTTGAAGTTTGGGGAGGTGAGATAGCATGTTCCCTCTCACATATATGGAAAACTTCTATACAGAATAAGAGAACTGTCAAGTTGTAAGGGACCCAAAGGTACACTCCTGGGTTTCAGGTAAGACCATTTCTCTATGTCGAGATCTTTAGTATTCCCCAGTGGTCTCTTAGCCAAGAATTAGCTAGGGTATCCCACTGCTTAACTTCCAAAATCAGATTAAATCAGGGAGATGGGACAATCTCATTTCTTAACACACAGACCATTTCTTAAATATCAATAATGTATGTGTCTATCCATCAAGCTGGCAGAACTATGTGGAAGAATCAGGGCACAGAGTTTATTCATTCCTACTGAAGAGAGCATTACACATGAATTTTTAAAACAATTTTTGGTTCAGTCAACTCATTTCGGTCTTTCCTCCATTCTCTATGGTATTGCTACACACATGTTCAAAGAAAAATCCTGCAAAGCACAATATCAGAAGAAGATATCTTGAGTGCCTTGCAATTCCTTTTGTTCAGTATAATTTTTGTTAACCAATTCATACGGCTGCTTGTACACATTCATAATAAAACACTAGGGGTACAGGGGTACAGAAGAGAATATTAATATGATTCTACTTATGGTTGCATTGGGGTTTCTTTGGGTGTCATGGTGTAGCAAGGTGCAGGAGCATGTGTGAGCTTCAGCAGAGGGCCACAAAAACATGCATTTCCATCTGATTGTACATGCAAACTTGTGAAAATGACTTTTTGGGGGATTGCATGTTTTATCAATGCATATATTACATGAACACTGGCATTGTAGATAAGGAGGAAAATATACAACTGGGTGGCTGGGATGGAGAGCTGTTGGAAACTGCAGATGTTCCCATTTCAAAATAAGACTGAGAAATTCTCCAGAACTCAGGAAAAAGAGAACTCTGGGCAGAGTTAACTCACAGCACCATAAAGGAATGCAACTGAGGACTTGGGCCATATAAAAATAGCAAACTTGATGGGGAAGAGTAATAGATTAACAAGAATTTTGCATAACTTTTTCCTGGCATTCCACATTCTGAAGTGTTGCACATTTCTGCAGAGAAAAATAACTTTTTTGGCACAAAACCATTGTGTTCTGTGCAGAAAATGGGTTTTCAGTGTAGAAAACACCATTTCACATGCTTCTCTCTGCAGAAAAATTCCTACACAACATTTTGCTACCTTCAAATGCACGAATAATACAGCAAGGGGATATCTGTTTTCTCCTGTAGCACAGAGAAAACTATTTTATTTATTCATCTTCACAGGTGAGGATGAAATACCTGTGGCTTTTCATTCCCTAATCCTGAGTTTGGCAAGATTAAACAGATAATTTTATTGTGGCTCAGCAGAAGACTTTAGTTGACAGAAGACTTGAACCCAGATCTCCTTGTGTCAGCTAAGCCTCTCAAAGGTAACACCTTCTGATTTCAGATAAAACTAAGAGCTTTGTTTCTAATTTGTTCCTAATTCCAGTCTACAGCTGGTACCACACACAGTTTTCTACGCAGGAATCTGCCTGACTTGTTCACATCCTTGGTGAGGTGAACAACTGTAAAGGGGATAGAGACTGATGTGGTATAGTGGTCTGAGCATTGGGCTATGACTCTGGAGATCTGGGTTCAAATCCCAGCTCAGGCATGTAAATTCTCTGGATGACCTTGAGCATGTCACACTCTCTCAGCCTCAGAGGATGGCAATGGCAACCACTATCAGAAGAAACTTGTCAAGAAAACCCCATGATAGGTTCACCTTAAGGTTGCCATAAGTTGGAAACGACTTGAAGGGACACAACAGCAACAAATTTAGGGGCTTAAACTTCATTCTCCCCCTTTTCCCTGATCCTTCCCACTTGAATCTTCCAAAAGTAGAAGAAGAAGCTGGAGTAAGGAAGAAAGAGAGCTCCAAGCCCATCAGACTGATTTGTTTCAGAAACAAAGAGGTCAGAGGTTTAAACTTTACAGTGGAGACGGGTGGAGGAAGGAGAAGGAAGAGGAGGGATAGAAGCAACCGGGGAGAAATATTCTCCTGAGCTTGAAGGCTATAGAGGAGGGCTCAGAAGCTGAAAACCCAAAACCCATGACTGGGAGAGATTGTGAGTCATGCGGCAGCAGCACAATAGAGGCATCACAAAAGCCAAAACCGGGCTGACTCAACTGGCTTGAACAGCAACAGCAGCAGGAAGGCAAGATGGAGAAAGGACAAACTGTGCACAGGTTTTCCCTCATCTCAACCATCTTGGTTGTGAGTTTCTCAACAATACGATTGGTCTTCCATGAATGAGAAGGTGGCTCATTTCTCTTCCATGCACACTGGATTTCCAGCAGAGAAATCTTGTCCCTTGCTCACCAGTGCCATCTTACTTATAAAGAGTGGCGAATCCACTCTGGGTTCTAGTCTGAACTTTAAGAGACCTAGCCACACTCCTGAGCCCTGTCCCCAAATATTTTCAGCACCTTGGAGAGGAGCAGCTTGAATGGTCTGCTGATCTCCCAGCTACTAGCTGCCACTATGGGTGCTGCCATCAGATTCTTCTCAATCTGGGCCTTCAAGATGTGGACTACTACCAGGCTCCAATTTTGTCTTTTCCTCCCTTAGCATTTTATCTCCTTAATATTGGTGCTTTATTACTCCATGCTGGCTAGTTCTCACTTTGAACGCTGTGCCCAGTTTGTTGTTGAATATGCCTTCAAGTTTTCTATATGTTTCTAACTTATGGTGACCCTAAGGCAAACCTATCACTGGGTTTTCTTGGCAAGGTTTGTTCAGAAGAGGATTTGCCATTGCCTTCCTCTGAGGCTGAGAGCATGTGACTCGCCTAAGTTTACCCAGTGGGTTTAAATGTTGAGCAGGAATTTGAACCTGATCTCCAGGGTCATAGTCCAGTGCTCAAGCCACTACACCACACTGGGTCTCATGTCCAGACCTTTTTTAAAGAAAGGAAGGAAGGAAGGAAGGAAAGACAGGAAAGATTCCAAGGAAAGGAACACAGACAATAAGGGGTTTAGGACAGATGACATGTGAGCGTTAGCAGAATGCAGTGGGCTTCTTTAGCTCAGAGAAAAGAAGATTAGGAGGTTGGAGGATGTAAGACCAGAGCAGCTTTCAAAGACCTGAGAAGCAGCCATCAGAAAGTCTACATGTAACCCTCTTACAGAAGCACTGTGAGAAGGAGAGGAAACAATGAAGGCAATTCAGGAAACTTCAATCCCACTGTAATCATGTTTCCTTGAAATCAAGTTCCATCTCGTTGAAGTTTAAAAGCTTTAAATGTCAGTTTTGGCTCACAAAGCCCATTGATTTCAACGGGATGTAGGAACACTCACAATGTTGAGCTGGGTTTTCCCATCTCTCTTTTACCCCCTTTTCTGGATGGCAGCAAAGGGTTAAAGCTGTAGTAAAAGAGATCTGGTTGCAACTGGAAGGAAATCCTCCCTCCCCATTGATATGAGCTGTTGAGCAATGAGAGAGGTATTGGCTAAGGAGGTTAGAGAACATATTTCTGTGCACCAGTTTCTTTTGTGGTTTCGCAAGTGGGATCTATGAAGACTGTCTCTTGAGAACAAGTTTATTCCCCTTGAAAAATGTTGGGAATTTTAAAAAATAGTAAAAAAGCAAAAGCAAAAGCAAAAATATACCATTCTGCAAAGTTTAATTGATTCTTTAGAAGAACTGATTGATTTCATGGAGAAAGAGCCATCCCAGTTTAACTAAAAAAGGGTGTTTCCAATGAACTGGGCAGCAGATTTTTTTTTTCCAATGAAATATTATTTTTAAATAGACATGCTTTTAAAAACTTCAGTAGCAGTCAAGATTGTACAACAACCACACACACACACACACACACACACATCTTCTCTCTCACAATGCTTTCCAACTGAGTTTCAGCTCATAGAAAGGAAAACCTTTTTCAAAAGTTATTCCACCTACACATCACTCTTTCTATGTATGGTTGCAAAAGCTGGGGAGTGAAGGAAGCTGACAGAAAGAAAATAAACTAATTTGAAATGTGGTATTGGTTCTATGGATACCATGATGTGTTAAGAAGACAAATGAATGGGTCTGAGACCAAATCCACACTTGAAGTCTCACTTGAATTCAAGGTGACTAAACTGAGGCTATTGTACTTTGGACACATCATGAGATGACATGACTCAATGAAGTGGTCAATAATAATAATAATAATAATAATAATAATGCTTGGCAAAGTTGTAGGCAGTCATGAAAGAGGAAGATAGCATTACAGACAGATTGACCCAGTTAAGGATGACATGACCCTCAATTTGCAAGGCTTGAGCAAGGCTGTTAATAACAGGGTGTCTCTGAGGTCTTTCCTTAAGTTGAAGCTGACTTGACGGCTATTTCCAACAAATATATCGCCCATGTGCACCAGAAAAAACACACACCAATATATACCACTATGTCCAGAAGACATACTTTGTTGCTTTGCCAATGTATGTGTCTTTAATTGATTGGTGGCTTGATTTATAGTTGAGAGCTAATAACATTCATTGACAGGATTATTTAATTAAGCAGGTGGCTGCACAATCAATGGCACAATGCTCCGGGGATATGGAGGATGGAAGATGCAACTCCTTCAGGTTGAAGGACCTGTGTACAAGCAACTTTTAAATGAAATCCTGGATGCTGAAATCAAGGAAAGGTGGGGTGAAGTGGTTCTTCCAGAAGATACAACCCCACACTCATGTTCAAAGCCATCACCAGGAAGGACTTCTTTAGACAGCACATTGTTGAACTATGGAACCAACTATCGCAAGACAGACACTATGACTAGTCATAACTAGTGACTTCATTCTTCTGGAATCTGCTTAATTTGTTTAAGATGTAGTAACAACTCTCAATCTGGATGGCTTCTGAAGTAGACTAGATAAGTTCAAGGTGAACCAAGGAACTAATCCCTACTAGTCATGATGACTTCCAATATGGCTTGGATCCAGACTATCTGAAAGACTGTATCTACGATCTTGCCTGTATTTTAAGATCCCCAAGGAATGGCTTCCTCTAGATCCCACCACCATCTCAGGCTCATCTGGTGAGGACATGATTTTGGGTCTCCTGCGTTTACACCAAATTGATGGCTTAATATAATCAGAACTTTCAAAAGATACTTATTTATGGACTCCTCAGAAACTTCCAGCCAGCCTGCATGGCCTTGGAGTCCAAAAAGTTACAAATGAGACATACATAATGCTACTTTGACTGCAACCTTGCCTTATCTCCTGCTGTCCTGGCTTTAATAAACTAGATTAGCTTTTCAACTGCTCAACTTTACTGGAGAAAGTGGAGTTTCAGGATACCAGACTGGTATAAAGTGTCAGTCTCTGGTCCTTTTCCCCGGTGATGTAGAAGTCACAAATTTCACATCTTTCTCTCCTGTCCAACTAATTCCTCTCCTACCATTCTGCACCAAAGAAACCGAATGCCAGACAATAGTTCTCTATCCTTTTTTTGGGCTCCACCCAGAAGAACAACAGAAAATATTTATAGAGAGCTTTGCATCTTTGAAAAGGTTCTTTTCCCCATCTTCTCTGAAACATGAACTCATTAATCCACCCAGCACTCGAAAGAGATAGAAAAACCCTTGCTCAAGGGACATGAAGCCTAACACCCAAGGAGGTGAAACATCATACTTCAAGGCCACCCAAGGAGTTAGACAGGATTCAACATTCAAAACACCAGCCCTGTATGCTGCTGATATTCCCCTTCAGTCCTCTGTCAATGACCTCCAGGTTATGCCCATAGAAGTGGTGGAATCTAGGATGAGATTCAACCGTGACTTTCTGGCTGGGTTCCTGGAGGCCTCCATGGTTCCTTGAAAGCTTAGCAAAGGTTTCTCAAGGTCAGGAATGAGGGATTGGTTTCCCCAGCTACCTGAATCCATGGAGCTGTCACTATTTTTAAAGCATTTACACACAACTGTGAGGTCTAGCAATGCCTTTTTTAAAAATAAAATAATGGAAGCTGAGACTCTTGGCCATGAGATCTAGAAACATCATTATTAAAAATTATTCTTTTAAAGTACCCACACAAATAAAACTTTAATGAATATATATATCCATCATTTTCCTAATAATAATAAAAAAAATGGCTTCTCAGCCAGGGATGCTAGACAATGGAAGTTAGTGTTGTCTAAGGTGGTGAATGTGCTCTGGGTTCCAATCCAAACTTTAAAGGAGTTATCCAAGGTGATCAGCATTTAGAATTCTGAGCCAGAGAGCTCTTAAGCCTCCCTAAACTACAATACCTAGAATTCCACAGGAGGCAGCCACAGAGTAGAATAACAGTGCTACAACAATGTAGTGTGATATTGACCTGAGATGAAACACTTGGCTCTAGATTAGTCTATGACAGTGATGGCGAACTTTTTAGAAACTGGGTGCCCAAACTGCAACCCAAAACCTACTTATTTATTGCAAAGTAATACATCCCTCTGGCTTTCTAGTAATGACTTCTGGCAAACTCTGTGCTGGGGCGACGACACACATGCCCACAGAGAAGGCTCTGAGTGCCCCTCTGTCCCTCATGCCATAGGTTTGCCACCACTGCTCTATGAGTTTCTTGGCTCAAGGAGAATTTGATCTCAGGTCTCCCTAGCTCTTCTTCTTTGTAGCAGGAAACCA